TGGAATTTGGAATCAGTGATGCTGGGGTTCAGACACCAGTTTGAACTCTTTAGAGTAGAGTGACACAAGAAAGTTTTCTTTAACCAACATAGCTGAGGCCCACACAGCATCTCTCCCACTGTTCCTTCTCTGCCAGCATAACCCTGTTATCTATGCACACCTGCCCTCCTTAGACACCTATGTAGCTGGAATAGGACCAAATGTCAAGTTTATATATAAAATCCTTTCATCAATGACTGATTCAGCTGTGGGCTCATGAACACTTTGAGGCAACTAGAAATAAGGGTTTGCTGGAGTTTGTGAAGAAAGTTAATTCTTTCCATCTCTGACCTGATCCAGAAGTGGTTCTGTCTGCTTTGGGCTTGTCTCAATTTATGATGTAATCCCTGAAGGTATGGCATTTATCCAACAGCTAGACTTAGGTTGAGATCAATACACTGAGCTAAGTTGGGTTGAGATACTCATGGGAAAATGAGGCCAGGACCAGAGGATTAGCTGTTCTGTCTGCACATAGATCTGTGGACCAAGAATGCCAAAGAGCTCAGGCCACATTAGTGGGGCTTTTGATATTTGTAGCGGAAAGAACTTGAGTTTTTCATGGTTTCTCATCTGTGAAATCAGAAAGCTACCTTGAGATCTTGGGAAAATTCATAGTAACACATGAAAAGCATTATCTAGAGAGTTTGTCATGGCACAAATCTTTAATGCATGATAACCAAGTTTGGATATTGTCTGCCTGCATTCTACAAACTTGCTATTAGTTTTGTTTACAATTAGCCTTGATTTTTGAATTATCCATATTTCCATATCAAATGAGACCAGTAGTATTAACCACCAAAGAACACAGTACTAGGTGAGCTAAAAATGTTAAAGTTCTTTGAGGTCAGCAAAAGACAGAGAATATAATAGTTCTGTGATATTTTATTGGATTTCTCTCTCTACACACACACACACACACACACACACACACACACAAACACACACACCTTTAAAAGCACCACGGGGTCTTAATTTTACACACTAAACACTCATTTTTGAAAAAAGAACTCTGGAGTATATAATACAATGGGTGCTTCAAAATATAAAATACACATAGTAAAACAAATAAAATTATAAAACATATATAAATTGTCATATAAAACATATAGCCGGGAGGTGGTGGCGCATGCCTTTAATCCCCAGCACTTGGGAGGCAGAGCCATGTGGATCTGTGTGAGTTCGAGGCCAGCCTGAGCTACAGAGTGAGTTCCAGGAAAGGCACAAAGCTACACAGAGAAACCCTGTCTTGAAAAAAAAAATATATATGTATATATAAACACATATAAAATATATAATTGGGGCTGGAGAGATGGCTCAGAGGTTAAGAGCACTGACTGCTCTTCCAGAGGTCCTGAGTTCAATTCCCAGCACCCACATGGTGGCTCACAACCATCTGTAATGAGATCTGTCGCCCTCTTCTGTATACATAATAAATAAATAAAATCTTTATATATATATATATATATATAATTGGTCCTAACATGATAATGTCTCAAGCTAGAAAATAAGAATATAAAAACTCTGATAAAGAATATGATGGTAAAATAAAAATCCAATGTGAAGATGGTAAAGTTCTAAAATTTTAAAAATTGCAGTAATATTTCTCAAATGAATACCACCAGAAAGTAGCAATAAAACTGAACAGTATAAAATTCTGCCTCAGCTCACAGCCTTTGGGCATCCATTCTGTACTTGAATCTTGGTTCTGATACTTGGATATCATATGATATTAGGTAAATTTCTTAGCCTCAATTTTCTCACTTGTGCAATGAAAATAATACAGACAATTGTGATGGCACATGCCACTTGAAAAGTGGAGACAAGAGACCAAGAGTTCAAGGCTAGTATGAGCTATAAAGCCTGCTTCAAAACAAGCAAAGATATTAGAAGCACAGGTTGACCTAAAAATCACCATAAAAAGTGTGTCAGAAAGAGAAAAGAAAAAATTAATACACCATAAAGACTTTAGTTTTAAATAAGATAATACAGGTCAAGTTTTTGTGTAGTTGCCAAGTAGGCTATGGAATGAGCCAGCTGTACCACCTTTGGATATGTATTATAAGGTCCGAATACCCAATACTCCCCCTTGCACCAACTGGGAAGAGGTAAGACCCTGATCCCCAGACTGGACAGTCCAGTTCTCTAGCCATTAGGGCCCAGAGGCACGTTCCAAGGCCCTCCCCTGGGCAGCAGCACCAATTGGGAAGAAGAGCAGCCACAGGAGCCACAGGTCCCATCTGCACCAATTGGAAGAAGAGCGACCCAGAGCTCCACCTGTATAGATTAAAGGAAGAGATGGGTAAATGGCAGTGTAAGAACACACTAAACAACATAAAGAGCAATAGGGCACCACTGGAACCTAGTGACTCTACAACAGCTAGACCTGAATATCCCAAAGCAGATGATCCAGAAGAAAACAAACTTAAAAACAACTTTGTGAAGATGATAGAGGCCCTAAAAGAGGAAATGAAAAATTCCCTTAAAGAAATGGAGAAAAAGGGTTGGGGATTTAGCTCAGTGGTAGAGCGCTTGCCTAGCAATCACAGGGCCCTGGGTTCAATCCTCAGCTCCAAAAAAAAAGGGGGGGGAGAAAAACACAAACAAAAAATTGGAAGAAAGCCAAAAAATTCCCCAAAAAACAATCAAAGAGGTGAAGGAAACAGTTCAAGACTTGAAAAATTGAAATAGAGGTAATGAAGAAAACACAAACTGAAAGAATTTGGGAAAAGGAAAATCTGAGTAAACAAACAGGAACTACAGAGGCAAGCATAACCAACAGAATGCAGGAGATCAAAGAGAAAATCTCAGGCATTGAGGATACAATAGAGGAAATAGATTCACCAATCAAAGAAAATGTTAAATCCAGCAAATTTTTAGCAAAAAACATCCAGGAAGTCTGGGATACCATGAAAAGACCAAACCTAAGAATGACAGGGACAGAAGAAGAATTCCAGCTCAATGGCACAGAAAATATATTCAACAAAATCATAGAAGAAATCTTTCCCAACCTAAAGAAAGACATGCCCATAATGGTACAAGAAGCGTACAGAACACCAAATAGACTGGCCCACAAAAAAAGTTCCCTTGCCACATAATAGTCAAAACACTAAACATACAGAATAAAGAAAGAATGTTAAGAGCAGCAAAGGAAAAATGTCAAGTAACATATAAAGGCAGACCTATCAGAATTACACCCAACTTCCCAATGGAAACTCAAAGCCAGAAGGTCTTGGACAGACGTTCTGCAGATACTAAGAGACCATGATTCCAGCCTAGATTACTATACCCAACAAAACTTTCAATCACCATAGAAGGAGAAAACAAGATATTCCATGACAAAACTAGATTTAAATAGTACATATCCACAAATCCAACCCTACAGAAAGTACTAGAAGATCAGCATAACCTAAGGATGCAGGCCCGTTCATGCTCATTGCTTCTCTATTTACAATAGGCAGAAAACAGAACCTGTTTAGATGTCCACTAATAATGAATGGGTAAAGAAAAAGTGCTACATATACACAATGGAATCTCATGAGACCATGCAGAAAAATAAATAATGGAATTTTCCAAAAAAATGTGTGGAGCTGTAAATGATTATTTTGAACAAATAAGCCTGATCCATAAAGGCAAATACCATGAAGAAGTTAGATTTAAATTTGTATAGGGATGTATATATAAATATATTTACATGTGTGTGTAGATATAGGTCATGAACAGAGAAAGGGAACCATGAGTGATGAGAAAGAGATCATAAAGGGTAGCAGAATGCATGTGTCATAACACAGTGGTGGAATGAGGATGGAAGAGAGCTAGCCACACATGGACTTGGGGGAGGAAACAGAAAGGAAACCAAAATGCATCAAATTTGGGCTGGGGAAGCTGCTCAGTGGAGGAGCATTTGTCTAACATGTGCAAGTCCTGAATTTACCCTCCAGCACTGAAAAAAAAATTGTGGAGAAAAGGATCTAAATAGCATGTGTTTCCCATGTTAAAAACAACTTAAAAAATAAAAGAAAATGAAACTGAAAGAAAGAAAAATAAACATTGAAGATCCCCTCAGGAATCCAAAGGCTGATTCTCTGAGATGGTCAATTGAGAAAGAAGAAGACACAAGTATTTCCAAGAAAAAAAGGATGGAGGGAATCACAGCAGACAACACGGCATTAGAGGAAAATGGAAGTTATGAACAACTCTGCAATGCTCAGTTTCGCCACCTACAGTAAGAGGATACACTCTTTTCAGGGCACACATTATTCTCTAGAAAATAACAGGCTGAATTGTCCCATGTCTATTCAAGAAATTGCTTGAGATTAAATCTTCCCTCATGGAAAATTATATCCCAAGTGATTTTGCTGGTAAATTTTACCAAACATACAAATGGCAAAACAATAAACTTACACAAAATCTTTCAGAATAGCAACACACACACACACAGTATATGATTAGTATCCATACTTTGTTATTTCAAAACTTATAAAACATTTGACATAAAACAATTAAAATATTGACATAAAAACAGATAAATCAATGGAAGTAGATAGAATCTACAAGTAAATAAGTCTAAATATCCTTTTAGTTAAGTTTACTGGATAAGTTGTAGATATGTGCCAACTATTTTTGATATATGTAAAATACTAACTTTGAACTTTACCTTATACCTTAAATATACACAAAATGTAATTATCTCAAAGTGGCTCACAGACCTAAAATGGAAGAACTAAGCTATAAATCCCCTAAACAAAAACACAGATCTCAGTGACCTTGGATTTGACAAAGAGTTTGTGATTTCAAACAGAAAGTAGGAAAACTCAGCAGATTAGAATTAAGTAAACTTTAAAATTTCATCAGTCAACTAGTTGTTAAAGATGTTAGTCATACACTGACCATGTGACCTAATCATTCCCACACTAGATTTTGCCCCATAGAAATAACAATGCACAGTCAGAGAAGCTTGGACATGACTGTTGGTGATAACTTTATTAGTAGCATCCACAACCATTAGACAACAAAATTGTATATAAACAGGTGAGGGTATAAACGGATTGTGGTACATTTACATAACAAGATTCCACCCAGAAAATAAAGAAACGAACTACTGATACACAAACAAAAATCAATCTTCATAGTATCATTTTGAGAAAAAGAGCAAGACAGCACATGGTTATACATAACATGATTTCATTTGTACAAAATTCTAAAAAAATGTAAACAGTCTATATTGTAAAAATGTAAGCTAGTCTATAGAAAAGCAGACCTTAGGAACAAGGGTAGAAACACCAGGCAGTAAGAAGAACTGATTACAAAATAGCACTAGGAAACATTGGGGGCGGGAGGGGGAAATGGATGTGCCTATTGGTAGTGGAGATGGCTTCATGAGTATGCACAGGTCAAAACTTTGCAGGTTGTACACTTTCAATATACTTGGTCAGTTATATGTCAGTTGTAGCTATGGCCTTGGCTTTTCTTTTCCCTCTGTACTTGCATACTTGGGGGAAATGGCTTTATAGTCAGACATGAGAGTTTGGATGCTACCTTTGCTCCTATAATGCAACCTTATGTAAATTACTTACAGTTTTGTGTCTCAGATTCTATTTTTATGTTAGTAAAATACTTTATACGAGAATAAGAATCTATGTGTCCATGGCTGTGTGATGACATGTTTTATCCCTAAGCTCACTCCCATTACCCTCTCCTAAGTAGACACGCTTCTTGTATTTCGCATATGACTTTGATAAATGTGCATTGAAGTATATACTTTTAAGTAACGGAATGGCATTGATAAAGCTCATTTCTCCTTTATGCTAAAACTTTAAGACCTATCATTATTATATCTCCCTATAGCAGGTTGCTTTCTAACAGCTGTATTATTTTTCACATTATATAACCACCAAGCTTAACTCATTAATTTCCCAAGATGAAAAATTCTTTGTCTAATTGTCTGTCTCAATATTTGTCTCCTAGAAGTTCTCTGGCACATAAAGCCTAAAGTGAGATGGCTGGGCCATAGGACAGCTGTGGGATAAATTTCACTCAGCATTTCCAAACTGCTTTCCAAAATGTGGAATTAATTTATACATCCACCAACACTAAGACTTAATGATGTCACTAACTTTTGCTGAAAAAATGGATGTAGCATTCACTCCAATTTTCACTTCTCAGGATATTAGTCAGTTTGACTACTTCTTGTTCTAATTAGCTACCCAGGTTTTTCCTTAGTAAACCACATCCATGTCAACATTTGCTCATTTAAAATTTTTACTTGTTGATGGCAGTCCCCTGAAATGTCTGTCATGAGGCTATGAGTATTGATAGGTCATTTAGTAAGTAGAAATATTGCATTTTAATATAAACACATCTGTCATTTGTTAGCTTAGTTACTTAAAATAATTACCCTTGGTCATGTGCAGAAGTGCAACCTTTATGTATTTTTTTCTTTTAGCTTTATGCTGTTACTTTGCTATCATCTAATCTATCTGGAGCCTGACTTCTTGTCTCCCATGGTTCTGTAGAGGCATACACTTCTTCCCATGTAATGATCTTTGTTACAAAACTCCCTTTTAAAGAGTTTGACTGTCTGTTGTGACTGGAGAGATGGTTCAGCAGTTAAGACCATTGGCTGCTCTTCCAGGGAACACTGGTTCAATTCCCAGCACCCACATGGCTGCCCACAGTTGTCTCTATCCCCAGTTTCAGGGGATCAGATACTCTCACACAGACATACATGCAGGCAAAACATCAATGCACATAAAATAAATTTAAATAAATTGCTTAAAAAGGAATTTGACTGTCTCCATTACATAAGCAATACATCTTTATCATTCACCACTTGAATGTTTTTATAGAAAGATGAATGATCCTAGAAGAGTAATGAGCCAGAGTAATAAAAGTCAAGAGGTGTTTTTATCCAGCCTTCAGAACCACACATAAACAGGAAATATTAAACAATCTGTGTTTTTGGATTATGTATAGAGAAGGACTCTTCCTATGTCTATCAGATATAACAGATCCTTGCAATGTCTTCAATGTTTAATAGCAAAATAACATTTTCATATAATATTATATAAATAAAATATTGTATATGTCACATCAAAACTATACTTCTGCAATAGTTTAAGATCATAGTATACCTCCTATATGGAATTTTTTAAATTTTCCCAAAGTTCCCTAAATTTCCTGAAATGATTCAGAATACTTGACAAGATAAGTCATTTAACTAGCAAGACTTTTTGTAAGCAAGGAAAAAGGTATAAGCAAAAGTGGATCTGATTTATGGCAATTCAGTATTCTATACAAAGAAAGTGCTCAAGGAAAAGAATGTCCTTGATTATCTGTTGAAAGTCCATACATTTACTATGTTTAAATTTACATGTGGTATGAAATCTTTCATGAAACTCAGGCGCTGTCTTTGTCTTTCTTGAGAGTTAAAAAAAAAAAACTATACCTTTATCCACAGAGTCCTTCTCACATGAAGCACTATCAATGATGAACTGGAATGTGTATTTCTTATTTTCCTTTGGATTTGGTAAGAAATTATTTTGGAATTTTATTGTTCTTTTACATTGTCCAATGATGTTGAACAGCAAACAGAAAATAAAATCAAGCAACCTAGTATTTCTCTTAGAACCTTGAAACATGTGGTATCCTAAAATTCCTAACTGAAAGTCTACCATTACCTAGCACTAGTATTCAGACTACCTATCTTTAATGCCTATAGATAGACTGGAATTTAGTAGCAGAATATTAAATTCAACCCACCTACCAGCAGTTAAGCAATGCTCACCACACAGAGACTCCTTGACAGTGTTATCATATTGTTAATCTATAAGTCTACAAGGACTTGATGGTCATTGTGTGTGTGTGTGTGTGTGTGTGTGTGTGTGTGTGTGTGTGTGTGTGTGTGTGTGTGTGTTGATGTTGGTGGAAGCTTGAGATAGTATTATACACCATTAAGAAACAAAAAGAACTGAGTTTTGTTTTACAAATTATTTAGCTGATACACAGGAATTACCACAATTAATATGCTGGCATATTTTAGAATGTTTTTAGCCATTTTGATTTTGAGAACCAAAGAGCATTATTGGAAGATCATAGGGAACAGAGGGAGAGTGATGATCACCCAGGTAGGAAATATCAAGATGCAAATGAGCCACCCACTCTTGTTAGATATGGACTCTTCTAAAGAGAGTTTGAGTAACAGCCAGAAGCCCCAAATTATGGTAAAATCACAACTACAGACCCATGTGGGAAGTAGATTCAAAGTAGGAATGTGTTGGAGACACACAGGTGGCCTACAATGCATCCAGTGCCCAACACAAAATGTAAGATTTTAAGAACAGCATATCAGCTTTGGGAACTGCAAACTATTAGTCATAGTTCTTTTTGCCCCATGGCAGTGAATTGCTGCAAATTTCACACTGATCAAAGCACCAAAAAAAGCTACAAACTCCATCCTGTAGCTCTGTGGACGAGGCACCAGAAGAGCTGACTACAGCACTCAGGGAATCTCAGGGACTCTTCTGACCACGGCCTGTGTTCATCCAGGTAGAGCTGTGAGAAAACTTCAAACACAATCCGGTTTGGCAACACAGACATGAAACAAGAAATGGATTGATGAATTGCATGTGGAGAACTCTGTGCTTTTCGACACAGAAGTTTTAAGAATTTTTTTTTTCTACTGAATTTTTGTTGAAACAGAGCTATCACCAGGATCATTAATCTCATGCTATCTTGAGAATTTCTGAAATCCACATGTGTGACACTGAAGAGCTATTTTATATATATATATTTAAAATCTCCTGAGTTAAAATAGCATTTTATATGGAAAAACACAAAGTAAGTTCAGAACTTCTTGGCCAGACATAATTTTTGCTAGAACATTTTATAACATCTCTACATTGTTTATTTAATAATTTAAGTCAGTATAGTCTACCACTTTTGTTCATCAATCATGTATTTCTAATACTATCAAAAAGACTTTGTTTCTTCTAGCCATAAAATATTTTGAGAAACATTTTTATTAACTATAAAAAGGACAGTTTTCTGATCTACTTTAAAAAATATTTCTTTGCTAATAGCATGATTGAAACACGACAAATGTTGCTAGGAGATATTTAAAGCTAATTAAATCCATTAGCAGCAGCATAAAAGAGCCTCTATTCACCAGAAGAAGAAAGATAATAAATAATTTTGATTTTATGTAACAAAAAGCCTTTTACCTTTTGAAAAATATTTATATATGAACCTTTGATAAATTTAAAAGCTAGTAAGTTTAATTTGCTATAAAAGAACAAAAGAAATGTAAACTTGAAATAACATCACAAATGTCAAATACAAGGTTATATCAGAATGAAGAATTTATGGCACAGTGTTTCCTCAAAAAAAGCATTTGATATACAACAACCTGGCTCAGCTAAGAATTAAAAATGAAATTTATAGTTATCTTGGCATGTGGACCTCATCTTCTATACTCCTACTCGATTTCTTGGAAATATCCAGGGATAAGCAGGAATGCATGCACATGAATATTTGTCAAATAACTTAATAAATGTGTTATGACTTACATTAAGGGGTGTCACTGGGACATCAGCAAAGAGTGTAAAATGCTCATATTTGTTTACTCAAATTTTACTCTAGACTTATGCTTACAGGTATAATTTCTCATGAAAACATTCATCTCTCCTGGAGAAATATGCTGAGTGTTTCCATCCCAAGTCTTCCTCTTGAAGCAACTGTGTCCGAATTACTCCCACTTCACCAGTGTGTGCAAAAACCATCATCCCTAACCACTGTACCCTCTCCCAGTATGGAGTTTGTAGGGCAGCTTTCTGCTCTGCCTTTTAGCACACTTGTTTTGATGATCAGAATCAAGGGAACAGCATTCTCTTCCTGTTACATCCCCTCTACCTAGAATCCTCTTAGTTTGCTAAGTAAGACTTGGCTATTTTCTAGTCTTAAATCTGGAACCATCTCTTCTCTGAACTAGTTAAGATGACGTTGATTCCACTAGATCAGACATCACTATTCTTGTCTAGGATCCGTCCAGCACTGTGCTTGTAACAGTCATGACGACAACTGTGGTATCTTATCCATTAATGACATGTACCTGCTTTTCTGCCAGTGGCAATATCTTCATACCCTCCCACAGAGCCTGGTCCCAGGGCTGGGCATCAAATAGCTGTTCCACATTTTTAAAAACTGGATGAGTAACTCCACAGACAAGATAATAGGTGAGAAGCAGTGAGCATTGTAACTACTTATGTCATTGAGTGGATCCTTTCAGTAGTGGTGCGGGTACGGGGAGAAAAGCAGGTAGTACAAAATGATATGAAATGATAAAGGCAAAGAAAATGTAGACAAAAGGGGCAAGAAAATGCCCCAAATCCAACCAACACCTCAATGCAGCTAACGTCATAAGGAAACTGAACCAAAGACAGGCACAATGCCAAGTAAAAAAATTTTTTTCTTCCTGAATAATCAACGCTTTCTTGTTTAATGGTACATTTTTGTATGTACTCTTTTAGGAGAGAGAGAATAATGGGAAGATATTACTAATAAAGGAAGGGTTGTGAGTAAGAAATGTGTCCTCGTGATTCAGCCATTCTCTTCAGGAAGGGTCTTTGGCTCATTTCATTACCACTCTGGTAAAAGTGGAAATGGCTATTACAAATAGTAACAAGTGAGTCCCTGCCTCAAATCAAATTCTATGCCAGGAGGCTTTAAAAAAATGACCTCATTTTACTTGTCTGAGACTGATATCAAGATCTCCATTTTCAGAGAAAGTTGAAGGTTGGAATGAGTGGCGAGTGGAAGCTGCAAAGTTAGTGGGGAGCTTTGGTCTAGCCAAGTGGGGGAGCTCTTTTGTGATCCCCCACTCTCTGCGCCTTCCTCCTTCAGTGTTTGGCAAAACCACAACTCACCTATCACATCCTATGAAAACTATTCTCATATTAAGAAACGTCAGGGCATTTCACATTTGCTAAATTGCACTTTGAGGATCCCTTTCATATGGAGCTGGAGCATCTGGATATATTCTTTGGGCATCTGGTGGAAACCACGCTTAGGTAACTTGTTGTCATAGTAGTGGTGACTGACAGGTGTTTCTTCTACAGTCTTAGAGAAAGGCCAGAATCCATAGAGCTTCACATTTTCACACAGTTCCACAGCGACACTTGCGATCATCAAGCCTGAGGACAGGCGGTATGCCGTCACCCCTTTAGTTCTCCAGAAGGTAGCAAGATGTCTCAGGTACATGGGATGGAAAAAGAGAACCTTTTGCCTAACTTTAGACTCTTTGAGGGTTTCGTAGACTTTAAAAGAGATGCCTGTGTTGGCCCTGTAGGAAAAGGCTGGCAGGAGAAGGAAGGCATCTCCATAGTTGGAAATATCCTCCAGAAACTTTGCTTTCTTCTCCTTCAAGTTCTTGTATCTGCCAGATTAAAATTAAAATTACAAAATCACAATCATCATCATCATCATCATAATAATAATAATAATAATAATAATAAAGCAATAATTTTATGTGATGTTGAATATATATCTGGTCAAAAATGCAACCATTTATATCCATTATATTAAAAAGTCAAACCAATGACTTAGAACATCAATCAAGTATCAAGTCAATATCAGTACCTGGTCTTCAATCCCCTTTCTTGATCTACAGAGATTATTAGTAGATATACATTTATTCTATTTTTTATATTACAACCCAGCGACATTATCTAATGTTGCTTTGGCTTTTTAGTACCTTTAAACTTACTTATAACCAAATACCATGGTCTATATATATTTAAAAGTTATAAGCTATGCATCTATTATACATATTTAATCACCAAATAGCTTTGTTTAGAGAGTCTATGCCTGCCTGAAAATATACATGTATATATTCTGTTATAATTTCCTTCCTGATTTGGCCTATCACCCTCTTATGCTCCACATGACACCTCAGGAAGAACTCTTCTAGTGCAGTTTTTTAACAATTAGCTTTTGGAAGGCAGCTACACTGTTTAGTTTTCACTCAAATTCTAGAACAACTTGAGGAGTCTATTCAATTACTAATTATTAGCAGTCTCTCTCTCTCTCTCTCTCTCTCTCTCTCTCTCTCTCTCTCTCTCTCTCTTAGCTTTTCTTTTTAGTTTTTCAAGACAGAGTTTCCCTGTGTACCCCTGGCTGTCCCAGAACTCACTCTGTAGACCAGGCTGGCCTCAAACTCACAGACATCCACCTGCCTCTGCCTCCCAAGTGCTGGGACTAAAGGTGTGTGCCACCACCTCCTGGCTAGCAGTCTCTTTTTGACAGGAAAAAATGGAGCAAAGTATATGTGGAATGCTTATGAACAAATCAACATTCTGTAGCAGGTACATCACAGAAGCCATGGGAAAGTACTCTGAATAACTAACTACAGAAAGTGAAAGCCGACAGTGCTTCGTCCGGCTATGAAGCCTTCCTCCCAAACTTTCATAAACAGTTTTGGCCAAAAAGCACCAAGTACCAAGGGGAAAGTGCACATAACATGAAGACTCTGAAAGAAAATGGAAGACACCGTGTCCCCTAGCTTTCAAGTTGAAGCGATAAGTTCTCCTTTGATTAGAAACATGTAGCTCAGGACACTAGAAATACAGCTGAGTCATTCTTCTGATGAAAGCACAGCCTGGATGAGGTGTCAGACTCTGCAGATGTATTCTTTTGTGTGTTTCCCCAGAAGCTGGCTCAGCTGTGCGGCATGTCAGCCTCAGCAGGGGGAGAACTGTGTGAAGGATCAGAAAGTGTTCCGAGGAGTAACGCAACTTGTGGGCACTCACTTCAGTGTTATGATGCTGGGATTGACAGTCACAAGATTCGTTTTGCTTCCAACATCTTTACTAGCATTCCCTGTGATTGGGGGGAGGTTGCACCTGGAATAAGGAAGGAAAAATATTTTCAAAATACAACCTATAAAAAGCAGATGTACACACACACACATACACATCCGATAACTGTTGTAATTGCAGAGGAATCCAATGCTGTTATGAGACCTTCAGATCCACCTGATGGCCACTGGAAAATATCAAGAAGTACTGGACTATAAGACGATGTTTCAACATTGTACAACATTTCATGTGATTTTAACATTTTCATTGACAATTTTAAGTATCAAAACCAGATATGACAAATCATTTCTTGCCATGCTTCTAAAGGATTTCAAGGCTTTTTATTAAATTGTGACTTAGATCAACTATACTGATTGATGGTGATTATATTCTCACAATGATCAGTACAAACTGAAAGAATCTGAGGCACTGAAAATACAGTGATAAAGTCTCCCAGAAACAAAGCCTATATAGGAGCACTAGTATCTTTTGATATCTATATGGATAACTGTCACCAAATTAGGTTATTAATGAAGGACATCTGTGGCAGTTTTCATCCTGCTGTCCTAAACCTGGAATACTAATTTTCCATTGGAAAACCATGAAAGATATTAATTTTGGTATATTCCAATCACAGAAAAAAGGGAATATACTCTAAATTTCAGTGAGACCATCTTTTTGAAGGAGAGCATGGAAAGGGAGAGCTGAGTGTCTCAAAAAGTGCTGTGTACAGCTGACATCATCTGTAATATGGATGGGGCTGCAGGACTCTGCTCCATGCCCTATGAAACACAGTAATAAATGAAATATGTACTTCCCACTTTGATATAAAATATACATCAGAAAAAATGTACTCATTATAGATAGGAGGCCACAGAATGACCTTCCCGGTGGCCCCCTGAAACAAGTCACAGACATACATTCTTTTGAAGAATCCAGAGTGGTTTTGCTGTTGTTTAAGACAGGGTCTTACTTTGTTGCCCAGGCTGACTAGAGCTCTCAAAGATCCTTCTGCCTCAGTCTCTCAACTGTTGAGATTACATTCATGAGCTCCCAAACTAGGCTTCAAAGTGGTTTCTAACATAACTGGAGACTTCATGGGAAACATCAGGATGTACACATGTGTGTATGTGCATCCTTTTATATGCATAGGTATATAATATGTGAAATATTTATATAAAATGCATACACAGATGTAACAGTATAGATATAGCATACGATATAATATAGTTATGGCCATGTTTGTTCCTTATACACTTAATTTGCAGATCCCAATGTTTGAAATGAAAACAAATGGGCAACTTATATGTGTGACCAGCAAGCATAGGCAAAGTAAGTACAGACTTAAAAATCTAAATACATTTTAACGACACCAACCATATGTAGCCCTAATTTTGCTTCCAGTTTGAATGGGCAACTTCAGAAAAGACTGTGTTCAGAAAAATCCCAGCGTCAGCTAAAGTAGAACCTGGAAACCCAGGCCTTGTCTTAAAGTTATCAATCAAATATCTGCTGAGACTTTTTCCTAGACTTTAAGCCTAAACTGTTCTTTCTATGGCTGCTATAAAGTAAAATTAATGTTTTTGCATAATACTCACCACAGATGTTTGGGGAATTTTAAGTCTATAAAAAGCCAATTACATGAACCATAATTTGCCTTCATTGTGACTCCCCCACCACACACAAACACTGAGAATATGAACAATGGCTAACCCATTCCAATACTGGCCGTGTCAACATGAAACATTAAAAGTGTGAAAATTTAAAAAAAAAGTCAGTAATTTCTGGACCATCATATCGACCATTGTGTAATTACCTCCAATATAAATTACCAACATGAGAAGAAAGTGAGGGAGGAGCTATTTTTAACTTCATGTGTAGTTGTTGTTAATATGTAGAACAAGTAGCATCAAATCCATGGAGACCAAAGGGTCTCGATATACAAAATTGATACTCTCAGAGAGTAAGGATGCAGACATCTGCTGCTCCCTCTTTTAAGTCACATTACAGCTGGACAAATCAGTGATTATTAGCATGAGGCACACACAGAAACCAACTTTGTGTCTGTTTTCATAAGCTACCTTGCATTCAGACAAAACTGCTTTACAAGTCCGGAATTGAGCAGATGCACAATATGAATTAATTTTCAAGCTGGAAAGCAGTGCTGTGTATGACTATAAAATGTCTAGATCAGCATCTTTCCTAGTGTTACTGAAGAGTAAATGCCCTTGCAATGGTCTGTGAGAACCAAGATCTTCCAGGACAGAGAAATGATCCTCCTGGGAGTCTTTCCAAGGGAACCACGATTCTCATCCACGGGCTGGAGGCTCTTATAAATCCTGCAGTCCCAAACCTTTCATGGCAATTTCACAGTTTCTTCTTACATATCCTTAGGGTACTGGTGTGACCGAGCTGAGGAACTCACAAGTTCGGTGACCTCCAGGAAAGCGTACCTGCATAACCTATAGATGCTAACAATACAATCCCAAAGACAGACAAAACTTGACACATGTGTCTATTTCCCTTTACAACAAACGTCAAGAGCTCCTGGGTTTTCGAGAAGAAACCGTCTTGACAAGACTCACCTGAAAACGAAGTCAGCTTTATCAATTTCCGCTCCACAGAGAGACTTGTTCAGAATTCCCCCATTGCCAACCACTGCACACTGGTTATAGGGGTAGTTCACAAAAGGCTGAGTCTAGTGGGAGAGAGCAGAAACCAATCATGACACATGATTGCTTAAAAATTAGAACCAAGGCTACAATGTGGCTATGGGGAAGAGATCTAATTCCCAGCACCCTCAAGAAAAAAGAAACCACAAGTATCATCAGCTGGATCCCAGAAACTTAACTCTTTATGTGTGCTTAGGAGAAGAAAAAAGAGAAAGAAAAAAAAAACAGAAAAAGACTCGGGGGGCAGGGCTTAAATAAGCAGTACAGGGGCGAGAGGTATGACTCCTTATGTAGGAGTATCAGCTGTGAAAACAAGAACTGAGTCCAAATCCTCAGCTCTCATGTCAAACCCAGAGACATGTCTGCAGTCTAGCATGGGGTAGGAGGAGGCAGGGGCATCCTGGGAGCTCCAGTCTGCTGGCCAGCCAGTCTAACTGAAACAGTGAGCTCTGAGTTCCCTAAGAGCCTGTCTCAGAACATAAGGTGGACAGCGATTGAGGAAGGCACCCAACATCTGGTTTCTATGTGTATGAGTGCCCTCAGATATGTGTGCACATACACTACATATAAACACACACAATATCTAGTTAATTAAATAAATAAATGCATAGCATTATGATCAACTTATTAGAATATAATTTGGAAAACATCATGTAAGTTTGTTTCATTTCTCTTGGGAGGGATAAACACTACATAAAATGTAATAAAACATAAGACTTAAAATAATATTATTGTATATAAACTAATATAATTTTTTTTGGCTTCTACAGAGTTTCTCTGTGTAGCCCTGGCTGTCCTGGAACTTGCCCAATGGACCAGGCTGACCTCAAACTCACAGAGATCTGCCTGCATCTACCTCCTGAATGCTGGGATTAAAGGCTTGCGTCACCACCACCCGGCTTAATATAATGTTTCTGTTGAAGCTATTTTACCAAGTAATCCAGGCTGGCTTCAGTATCACTATGAAGCTGAGGGTGGCCTAGGGTGTCTGATCCTCCTGCCCCTACCTTCCATGAACATACCATACCTCTTACTACAGAGAATAATTAAAGAAAAATGAGAAAATCCCATATTGTGTCTTTCCAACAAACAGGAGCAGTTCAGAATTAAAAAGACAGAAAACAAAGAAGTTAGAAAATAGCATTAAATCTTTTATTTTGATGTGTAGAATTAAAGATAATTCATCAAAACTTTCTTTACTTCACTAATCCTTAGACATACAGGCTCAGTGAAGTGATTGGATTTATGCTGGCCAATTCTACAGATGGCCACCAGCATGCTTTGGGAATCCTCTAGAATGGCATTTTTTTCATTTCCTCCCAGGACTTACCCATTTTGTTTACCCTAAAACATTGCCCATTTTCCCCACATCCTCCACATGTAAAACCAAACCTTGTCATTCAATGGTACATGTTTTCCTTGCTGCTCTATTTCCCTTGATGTAATAAAGTGTCCTAGGCCCTGCACTTACTTCTCACAGTGAGGAGGTCTGTTTGTCCCTCACATCAGAATGTACATCCTCGTGAGCAGAGCACACATTTCTTCATTTTTTGTTTCCCCTGATCTCTCACCCCAGAGCTAGAATAACACAGTGCTCATAGTGTGTTTTCTATAAGCACTTGCTGGTCCAGTGCCTCCGCCATCGTACAGTCCCATTTGTGTGTTAGAGCTGGCTCATTCAACACCGCAAAAGATGAGCGGGCAACACTCAGCAGTTCTGTGAGCCAGCCGTTAAATCACCAGGAACAGGAAATTGGCCATGATGCTAGTATCTAAACCACAGAGTATGGGAAAGGCTACAACACCAAGGCACCCTTCTCCCCAGAGCCAAGACACTGGCACTGCTGGCAAGATCCTAGGACTGCTGTGGTTCTGAGCTCCTCAGAGTGCTGGCAGACCCCTGAGTCATGATCACAGCCACTTGCTCCTGATACTGCATCTGGGAGATGCCCAACAAGCACACAGAGCTTTCCGTAAGCTTGTCTTTACATTTTAATTGCCACGATACATTTATTGTATGAGAGGCATTGTTCCACACGCACAACTTACTAGCAGATTTAACTCATACAACCACTGTGTGAGCATTTTACAGATGGGAAAGTAGAGGAGCAAGCTGAAGCAACAGCTCTAGATAGGCAGAACCGGGCTACGACCCAGTTAGGCTGCTCCAGGCCGCTGCCCAGCCCACAGTTTCTTACTAGCCAGTGGATTAACATGTTTATGAGGCAGTTCATGCCTCTCTAGCCAGAAGGTCCCGTATTGTGTCTGGCTTTTAAACGAATGCTTCGCAGATAGTAAAAGCTATTTCTCATCTTCGAAATTCAAGCCCAGGATGGCTCCAGAGTTTTTACTCTATGGTTTCTCAATAAATTCTGAATTTTATAGACAGGGTGGAATGCAATAATGCAAATATGCTCTTTATGGCACAATGGAAAAGATTACTAAGGGAAACACATCTCAAATTAAGTCCTCAAAATAATGACTGTTTTCTCCGGTTTCTTGGTCAACTGGGAAGAAACAGCCGTATGTTTGGGGAGGTGGTGTTCAGTAGGAGCTGAAATAAATTACAAACCTCAGTGTCCCCTAAAATAAACCAGCATTTAGAGGCAGTACTTCACATTTTTTTTGATGGAAGGGTTTTATGGCAAGCTGCTCGGCATCTGGTGGTCCTAGGAGCTGTGGGCACAGAGGAACAAGGAAGACCATGTGGACCATGGGAAGGAGGGTAGGAAGGAGGTTCATCCTAGCCATGGAAGGGGACAGTGGAAACAACACAAGGTGACATCATTTTACCCAGGTCACCCGGAAGAATTTCTTGTTTGCCAACTAAAAACAAACAACAACAACAGCAAAAATCAGGATAATGCGAAATGAGTTCAGTTGTTAATATACAGAATTACCAGCTTTCATCATCTTCTTTTCAGGATGCTGTGTGAAAGGCATACACAGCGGCATCTCTGGACTGGGTGGCAGAAAGCAAAGCAAACTCCTACAAAATGTGCCTGGATGGAGAGATGCTGCTTACCCGACTCTCCCAGGCTTCCCATAAACATAGAAACATCTAGTTACTAGCCTGATTTCATTTATTGGTAGTTTCAATTGCATCACAGAAAGGTTTTATGAGGATCTTGTTTTTGCTTTGGATTTTTTGGGCCTGTTTTTGTGGTTAGGGGATGAAATTCAGACCCTTGCACCTCCTGTGCAAGAGTTCTGCCACTAAGCTGTATGGTGCTCCACTTCTTGGTGTTTGGAGATAGTCTCATTTTGTAGCCCAGGCTGTCCTCAAACTCAGGATCATCCTGCTCTACCTCCCAAGTGCAAGAATTACATGCATAAACTACCAAATTTAGCTAAGATTTTTTTTTGTAAACTTTTTTTCCCCCCGAGACAGGGTTTCTCTGTGTCGTTTTGGTGCCTGTCCTGAATCTTGCTCTGTGGATCAGGCTGGTCTCGAACTCACAGAGATCCGCCTGGCTCTGCCTCGCGAATGCTGGGATTAAAGGCATGTGCCACCACCACCCAGCTATAAACTTTCTTGAGGTACACATACTTACAACAAACTGCATTTAATTTACCGTTTTGTTAATCATTTAAAAACATCAGATTTGTCTTTATTTGAAAATATTTTCTGTTTTATGAGACACCTTTCTGCCCTCTTCATCTAGAAAATTTGCAGTATTTTTGTCTATCATTTTCCAGTTATTTCTCATTTATTCTCAACAAATTGTTCTTTCTCTGAATTGTGACACAAAACTATTGAAATAACTTACATGAGCCACAATAAACTAGTTTTGAGAAGTCAAACATCTAACAAAGGAAGAATTAATTATGAAACCTGTCTACAGATAGCAAGCTGCATAGATGATATAGTGATCCCATATGATCATATCAATTTGGCCTGATTGATTTTAAATATCATTAAAAAAAAGACACCTGTGAATTTATGATCATAAGGTATGAAATGATTCTCATGACAAAAACTCCCTCAATTCTGCACTTGTATTCCATGAAAATTACATTTTCCCACTGTGCCGAGCAGCGGAGTACATGTCGCTTACTCATGTTTATTTACAGACATGTAGTGAGTGTATATGCACTGGGAAATGTTCCAGGAGCTTGGAATACAGCAGTGACCACAGTAGACAATGAACTTTGTCTTGTGGATATCACATGGACTGACCATGAATTTCTATGTTGTCACGTCACAAAGGTAAATCACTTAAGCCTTTTGTACAAGGATGGCCTTAGCCATCCAAAGTGACAATTCAAAGAATCTGATCCCCGGGGAAATGTGGTAGTCACCTCCCCAGCCCCAGTCAATATAGCTCTGAAACACCATGTCTCAGCTCATTCACTGAAGAGTCAGGGGTAGCGGGGAGGGCTGAAAGAACTTGTCATTCATGACATAAACACTCTTCTTAGGGAGTCACCCTGCATTCAGAATTGCTTCCATAGGGACTCGGGGTGTAGCTCAGTGGTAGAGTCCTTACCAAACATGGGCAAAGTCCTGGGTTCAGTCTCAAGGAGATATAATATAAATTTAAAAGAACTGTCCAGGAGGCAGTGGCACATGCCTTTAATCCCAGCACTCGGGAGGCAAAGCCAGGCGGATCTCTGTGAGTTCAAGGCCAGCCTGGTCTACAGAACAAGCTCCAGGATAGGCACCAAAACTACACAGAGAAACCCTATCTCAAAAAACCAAAATAGATAGATAGATAGATAGATAGATAGATAGATAGATAGATAGATAGATAGATAGATAGATAAAAATAAAAGAACTGAATTCTGCGACAGGCCCACCACTCTACATGGTCCATATGCCATAACATAATATGGTAGCTTTAAACTTACTCATTCCTTCCTCCAGGTTACAACCTCAAGCCATCCTTACTCACCACTGGGAACATGTGGAAAAGGTTCTCTCGAATGGGGATTTGCCTCTTGTTTTCCACCTCATAGCTGATGTTAGTCCCCAGTGGAGTGTTGTTCTGGGAAACCACGAAGCTCTGAACCGCGTCACAACAGGAAGCCAGCTTTGCTCTACAAGGGATGAGAAGGGAAGGAAGGTGAGGAATCCAACGAGGACCCCAAACATGGCCGTGACAGTGGATGCAGCTAACGAGGAATCGGGCTGCTGCGTTCAAAAGGAAGACAAGCCGGGCACTGACGTGACATCACTCCTCTGCAGCCCTGGGTGGGGGCATGGTGACGGGTGGGGTGCACACCCTCAGGGAGAAGCCCACTCCACAGAGGGAACAGCTCTGAACACAACAGTTGCAGAGATGAAAAACTTCCTTGCAATGAGATTGCCGAGAGAAACAGAGAAAGGAGAGAACCCATCCCAGTAGTCCCCTTAACCGCTGTCAGGCTTTGGGAGGTTTCAACTGTCCAACAGAAACTCTGCTCCAAGATAATTTCAAGAGGGCAACTTGAAATTTCATACGACTTTAGTACAAAACATTGCTATGGCTGCATTTTTATTTTTTATTTTTTACATTTTATTTGTATATGCACGGGTGTTTTATTTGCATGTGTGTTTGGGCACCATCTGCATACAGTACTTGCAGAGGCCAGGAGGGGGCATCAGGTCCCCTGGAACTGAAGTTGCAGATGGCTGTGAGTAGCCATGTGGGTACTGAAAATCAAACCTGGGTCCTCTGGTAGAGCAGCCAGCACTCTTAAGCCCTGGGCCAGCTCTCTAGCCCCAGATTTTTGTTTTTGTTTGTTTTTTAACTTTTACTCTTCTCTCATATTTTACATCCCTACCATGGTTTTCTCTCCCTCTACTCCTCCCAGGCCCTCCCCCCTCCTTCTCTCTCCCAGATCAACTCCTCCTCTGTTTCCCTTTAAAAAAAAAAAAAAAAAAGAGCAGGCCTTGCAGGGATACCAACTGAACATGGCCTAATAAGATACAATAAGACCGGGTACAAACCCTCATATCACAGCTGGCTGTGGCAAGCCAGTAAGAGTCCCAAGCACAGGCAAATGAGTCAGAGACACCCCCATTCCCATTGTTGGGAGCCCCAGGTTATACAACCATAAGGTATAAGCAGAGGACCTAGCTCAGACCCAGACAGGGTCCGTGATTGTCACTTCGGTCTCTGTGAGCCCCTATGAATCCGGCTTAGTTGATTCTGTGGGCTGTGTTCTCATGGTGTCCTCAACCCCTCTGGCCCCTACAGTCCTTCCTCCCCCTCTTTTCCGGGTTCTCCTGACTCCACCTAGTGCTAGGCTGTGGCTCTCTGCATCTGCTCTCAGCGGTTGCTGGATGACGCCCTTATGACAACAATTGTCTAGTCTCATTCTTAGCTGTATTTTATCATGAGTTACTATTGTTAATCTCTTACTGTGTCTAACTTATACACTAAACATATATGTGTACAATACTGTTCATATGTAATATATATATAAACAATGTGTCTATAATACATATATACTATGTATATTCAATAAGTACTATGTATATACCATATATTCCATGTTTTGTACACATATGATATATGTGTTTTGTACACATTTGTACACATATGATATATATAACATATACAATACTATACTATATATTCCATATATACATATCTACTATAAATATACTATATATACACACACATAGCATACATATACATTATTCACGTACATATACGGTAATATAGTTGAGGCCCAGCACTATCTGGGGTTTCAGACAAGCACAGGTTGGGTGGGATCTGAAATGGGTCTCTCAAGGATAACAGTGGAAAATATTATACCATTGTTTTACAATAGGCCTGCCTGAGCTCCTCCCAACCCACCCCTGTCCCTCGGGACTTGGCCTTGTGGTGAGGACTCAGGGTCCTCCTAGTTCTTTCCCACAGACCCTTTCAGCCCTTTCTTCTAGCCCATCTCCATTCCTTTGTGACTTCCCCGCCAACCCGCAGAATCACTCTCTAACAAGGTTCCACAGCAGCCACCCGTGGCTGGGACTGAGAGCAGAATACCCACCCATCAAGGTGAAACCAGAGATCTACATCAAGATATATACCACAGTCACTACAACTCCAGATGCCTAGACCCCAGGACAGAGACTCAAAGGTGAACAGCCAAGACAACATGCCGCCCCCAGAAACACACTAGCTAAGGGTGGCGGCTGAGGGTGGAGCGCAGCCCTGCTCGGTGGCAGGGGGTCAATCACAAAGGGGTGATGGTGGGCTAGGAAGACTGGCTGACAGGGGCTGCAGGGAGGACCTAGGGGACCGTGAGGCCTATTGTAATAGGCCCTGAGCAAAGCAACTTAGCTGAGACGTAAGGTAAGTACTTCAAAATAGCAATTATGAGTATGTTCAAGGACTTTAGAGTGGATATGTATAAAGGCCTTAAGGAAGATCAAGAAAACACAGTTGGGGGAGATCATGAAAACAGTACAAGAAATGAAAGTAGAACTCAACAATTGTTTTGTAATAATTATGAGATTAGGAAAACTAAGCTAAGTAGCATTACAGTCACCTAAGCAATAATGTATCACCATTTATTTGAGAACAATCGAGAGGTACAGTGATTTTTGAGTGGAACAATTTCAAGGTGGCCATTGCTAGTAGAAATCCCAGAAAGATGTCAATTGCTATCCAATTTAGAAGTCCTGGTTATTATAACACAGCCCAGTGTCAAATTTTCATGTCTTATATGTTATTTATGCAATTCTTCAGGGCTGTAGATGTCAAAGCATTTCTTAATAATTATTCCAGGATTAATCAACCTTAAAGTCAGGGGACACTTCTATTTACACAACTAAGCTATCTTTTTGCTGAAGTCTGTTTTCTCTGTTCACTTTCTTAGGAACTCTTTTTTTTTTTTCAGACCAACTTTTTATTGAACTAATGCAGCTCACAGACTTGTAAACAGTGCCAATTGACAAAGTTATGCTGAAAACTACAGCTTGTGTCCATTAAACACACTTCTCTCTTGAGATTAAAAACAAAAACCCAAAGTAAACAAATACTGAGAGAGAGAATTAAAAGACACATCTTGAGTCTTCTAGGAAGGCAAAGTAAAAAAAAAAAAAAAAAAGCCACAAGGCTTGGTCCCAGGCGCTCACCATGCCTAGAGCTAGAGCGTTACTCCTACGACCCTGTCTCCTCCACCAGTGGCTAGGTAGAGGTTCAGGAGCAGAGTCATCTTGGGCATGCTGCAAATACAGCATTTGCTGGTGTTGACACCCTCCTGGGGCTGTGGTGGCAGACTGCTGTGTCAGCCCAATTCCTGGGAGCAGCAGGGGGATCTTCTGCTGACCTCCAGTCAGCCCACACACCTCAGCGGGGTACCTTGCCCCTTTTCTCCAGTGCGGTTCAGCATTGAGGTTGTCTATTCCCAGTCGGCAATAAAACCTGAGCTGTTTTCCTCACAGGTTCCACCCCTGCTCCCCAATTTAGGGGATCATTGAGGAGGCAGGGGGATTCCCCAGGGATCAGTGACCTGGCTCTCTTGCAGGTTCTTCACCAGCTGTGCAAGCCAGCGTTTCTTGGTGGTGCCATCTTTTAGCACCTGGGCAAAGGTTGTGTCCTTCAGCTGGTCAGGGAGGCATTGTCTGAGTGCTTCACGTGCCCTGGGATTATCTGAGAGTCGAAGGTAGCATCTTACTTCATGCTTCAGTAGACGGGCAGACAGTTCTTTGGATAGCTGCAGGACCATTTTACCCAAGATCATGGCAACATGGGAAAAACACTCATATGTCTGACAAATATAGGCCAAACCAGTGTCATCCAAGAGGATCTTCTGGAGGATAAATGTGGCAACCGTTTTAGAAAGTTCACGTCCAGATTCCATAATGCGCAAACACAAAGGGATGGTTTCTCTTGTCAATAAAAAGTTGATTACTTCTTGTTCGTCTGTTTTAACCAAGGCCCCAATAACTCCGAGGCTGGTGAGCCGAAGATATTCAAAGGGACGAGTTTTGCTGACTGTGTGCAAAAAGGGGTACAAAAAAAAGTGGGATGTGTGCTGCAAGAAAAGCTGACCTGGTCTCCGGGTGTGAGACCACACACTGCAGCAACGCTAAAGCATTGCAAACTCTGTTAGACGGGTGTGCTGTCGAAGTTGGAGGGCTGATAGATGGATAAATATTTACAATTTCCTGTAAAAGTGCTGCAATAGTATCAATTGAATGCCGCAGCATGGGTGCCAGGTCAGGGACAGACTCTCGCTTCTTGCTTAGCTCTAGCAAAGCATTTTCCCTCGTCTCAGGACTGGACAGTTCATTGATCCACTGATAGATCTTCTCTCTGTCCACTTGGGCCAGTGCAATAGGCACAGGCCCTGCCGTCGCCAGGCTGTGCATGTTGGGAGCAGCCACCGCTCTCCTCCTTCCACTGGACGGACGCGCTGTCCGGAGGGACGCGCCGGACCCGTGTACCAGCTTCAGTGGCTGTGCAGCCCCTGATGAAGAGCCACCATCCGCCTCTGGCTCGCTCCTCCCCCTTCTCAGCCCTCTCTTCTTAGGAACTCTTAAAGTAACTGACCAAGCAAACCAATTAACCTTTCAACCTTGTGAGCATCTGCAGGATTTCCTCTTCCTTTTGTATTTCCCGAATAGTACCCATTTTTCATTACTTCCGTCATCTCATCACTATTGAAACTTGTCCTTTTTCCACATTACTTATGAACTATGTATGCAGTCGCAACCACACACTGCAGAAAAGGCATGTCTCTGCAGTGGGACCTGGCTGTGGTGAGAGTCGTTAGAACTGGTTTCTTCCAGTCCTACATTTTTATTGTTGGGTCGATTCTAAAGCTCACACTTTTAGACACATTCCTACTGAATTTTGTGCTTTTGAAGTAACACAATGCTCTAATATGTTGTGCTCATTTAAAATTCCCTCCTTCTGAATTCCACCAATTCTCTGAGTATGGAAAGTGTTTTTTGTACCCATGGTCAAGGCTTTTCTTCCTTTTTTTTTTTTTTCTTTCTTTTGGTTTTTTGAGACAGGGTTTCTCTGTGTAGCTTTGCGCCTGTCCTGGACTTACTTTGTAGGCCAGGCTGGCCTCGAACTCACAGAGATCCATCTACCTCT